GTCGTCCAAAGACGTGAGTGAGGAGGGTGTGGTAGTAGGTTGTCTCTGGGGCTGGCTTGAGGTAGTACTTGCACTTCCAGCCAATCTTCTCCACCACGGGAACAACTGGGGATGGTGCAGGTGTAGGGGAAGTAGCCGTCGACTCCTCGGTGTAGCTACAACAGGATAGGACAGCACAATGATGGTGTGTAGGAGCAGGTGTAAGGCGTCGGTGTAGCCATCTCCTCATCGTCGGAGATGATCACAATCTCCTCTCACTTTGTGGGGCACCTTGCAGGGGTGAACATGGCACGATAGCCGGCGGTCTTTGAGGCGGCGATCTTGGATTATGAGACATCTATAGATTTAAAGTGAGATAGAATTAGAATCAACAATTTTAAATAATAGATTAAGGTACGAAAAACATAAATGTTTTAATAAAATAACAAGAATAAGACAGTAAGCAAGAAACCAGAGGAGCAAAGATGCTAAAACGACCGTTTTCTAACTAGGCTTGCGTCCTACAGCCAACACGGCTCGGATACCAATTTGTCACACCCAATTTTAAGGATAAAATTGAATGCACTAAACTCATGTGTGCCCAGGGATCAGTCACACACATAAGTTGACAAATTATAAAAAGTATCATCACAGTGTATCTTACATAACGAATAATAGCATCACATTGTCTTACATAACACGGCGGAAGATAAAAAGATAACTCTCTCGTGGAACTCCATCACAGGGACGGTCGACTGGTTGACCACAAGCCTAATAATCCTCAGGAAACTCCTCATATCCGTTGTCATCTGTTACCCATCCGGGATTTTTATTCAAATATAGAAAGTAAACAAGTGTAAGTACTTCCCGTACTTAACAAGATAACATGGGGATTCATGAGGCTCAAAAAGGTTTGACACTGGTTTACTGCAGTTAGCACTTTTAGTAAGTCAAGATTTTATTATCAAGTATCATCAAGTTATGCTTAAGCTTCCATTTAAACCCACTTAATCAGATATCAGCATCATTTGAATCATATCATCATAAACCATCATAAATGAACAACAATGAGTGACCCATTTATTCTGTGAGTTTTCCGGGACGCGTGATGACGTGAGAAACTACTGTTATTATAACGAGTTTGTTACCCTCTGCAGAGGTGGTGCACATTCACCGCGAGTCGTGATCCCCATATGCCCGGGTTAATTACTCTCATGTCACTACCAAGGTGAGCGGGCAGGATACACTATGAAGCCATTTCATAGGTTTCTCTAACAAGTTAGGGCCGCTAGGTTTCCTTGGCAGGCAAATGTAGGAACCCCCCTTTCCTATGGCACATATCCATTATGCTATATACACATAGGAAGGAGAGGCAGCCCTATACCCAACGTGGGAAGCCCCATTTATGCCAAAAAGGTAACCTCTAACTAGCTAGAAAATGTCCTATTATGAGAGCTAAAGTCGAGCCATATGACTCTCACGTTTGCCCTGTCATCCCCCTTTTTTGCCGCAGATAAGTCCTTATGGAGGGCCGAGTGCAACATGATCAACGATCATTTGCACCTTTCGCCCTATGGAGCAGTTGTTATAAATCAGGTTATACTTTTAGTTCCTTAGATTCATTCATCATCATGTAGATCATGTTCGGTTAGAGCACTAGCATTCTACCCATATGCAATTACCCAATAGTAGTCAAGGGAACAAGTCATCAAATGCCTAGAATGTCCTTAGGGTTATCAAAATTAGACCCATGCACATGAGTAATTGATTAAAGTGAAATAGGACATCAAGGTAGGCCCATGCTATACTTGCCTTGGTTCACAAACTCGTCTTTGGTCCTCTTTGGTCGTCGAAGAATTCTTGGTCTCCAACGTTTTTCCTCACCGTCTAACGCGACCAACATGGCAACATATAACATTTCAAAAGCATTCATGCAAAGCAAACATTCCTATCATTAGAAGCAATTACACCAACAAAGATTGAAAACAAGATAAAATGTCTCGTAAAAATAATCTACTTCTCGCGCTACGATCACGTCAACGCGAAGTTCACGAAAAAACGAGCTAAAATGCGAAAGTTATGATTTAAATGGGTTTTCCTATAGCCATATATTTAATTAAATCTAATCATGAAACTAAAAATTCCAAACTTGACTATGATGGTTCTAACATGTAGCTTATGAAATTACGAAGCTAACGCGATTTGAATGGATCAATTCGGAGCTAAAGCGACAATTTTATAAGCGAAAGCAGTTCAAATGGCATTTACGTAAATACCGAAAACGTATTTTTGACTTAAGCCAGTGAAGTTAACGTTTTTCCAAGCGAGATTGCGCATTCGTGGAACTACGCCTTTGATGCGGGTTAGGACTTTGAAAAGTCCAAGGTCTCTTTTGCAAATCAGCCACGCGAAGGGTATCGGATGTTCTCACCGTTGGATTTAAAATGAACGGATCGGATTTGATCGAGAGGAGGAGAGATGAAGGTGGCGTCGCCGGAACAGTGGACGCCTTGGCGGTGAGGCACCATTGCGGCGTGGCGTGGAGGTCTCTGACCAGCCTTGTGTTAGGGGCTAGGGTTCACCAAATGAAAACCGAAGCGCACCGGGGTATGCGTGGGAAGAAGGGGTCTTAGCCATGCCGATCTGGTGGCCAGGAACAATGAGTAGCGTGTGTGGCCGCCATGGCCGTGACCAAGGCTTCATGAGCTTCATGGCCGAGGCTCAAGAAGCCAAGAAAAAACGAAAGTAGGGGTACCGGAGATAGAGGAGGCCAGGGGTTCTCACCATGGGAGGGGAGGAAGGAGGACAGGGGAAGCTCGCGGGCGGGTGGTCCGTCTGAAGGAGAAGACGGCGGATCCGGCGACCACGGAGCGGCGATTCTTGGGCTTCCTCGGTGCTTAGCGAAGCCTTGAAGACAAGAGCGGGGAAGCGGCGAGGTCTGTGCGGGAAGGCTCATTTGCTATTTGTAGTGCATGGCGAGTAGGGGTGCTCCCGATATCGATCGTGGGGCGGTTATTGATGTGCCGGGCGGCAGGTGGTTCCGAGACATGTGAGGAAGAAGGATGGCGCCGACAAAGCGGGGCCGGCGTCGTGGTGAGGGAGGCGTGGCGTGACGGTTACTGCACTGCTGACTTCTTTGAAATTTGGCGGTTGGTGTGATCTTTGGGCATGAGGGAAAAGAGAGGGGCAGTGGGCGAAATTCAAGAAGGAGAGGGAATAAGATTCTTTCCTTTTCTATTTCTTCTACAATTTTCCAAATCCCTTTTTAAATTCAAATTTCAATTATTTTTGAAATCTTTAACAAATTCCAAGCATTCACAAAATGATATGCAGCAGCATGTATGCATCAAAAAGTTTTCTAACCTTATTTTTAAATTTTAATTCCACAAAATTTATTATTTCCCTATCTTTTAATGCACACACCTTTGCTTAAATAAATCATATTTACTAATTTTAAAAGAATGCAAATTTTAGGATGTTACAGTAACGTGAAGAGAGGCAGAGGAAGACCGAAGTTGACTTGGGTAGAGGCAATAAAAGGAGACTTGAAATGATGGAATATACCCAAAGACTTAGCCTTAGATAGGAGTGCTTGAAAAACAACTATTCACGTGCCTGAACCTTGATTGCTTCTGCTGGGTTTCAACTCTAGCCTACCCTAACTTGTTTGGGACTTAAATGCTTTGTTGTTGTTGTATTGATTGTCACTACAAACATCAATCTACTTCCATCTAGTGCTATCACTTTAATTTTACCATCATTACTGCAACTATCTTTCTCATGGCGTTATGCTTTTGAGCGCCACAAACATGAAGCATTTCCATCTTTACTGCTAAGGTGTTTACAGTTTGCCTCCATTCTTTTCCAACATCCTTGCTTAATGGTTGTTGTGCACACTTCTTAGATTAGAAACTTTTTTTTTCCTCCTTTTCCACCACAATCCCTCTGGTAGGATAAGAATGTTGAAAATTGTTTATATGGTGCATAAGTTGGCATTGGTATGATGTAGGATAGTTCATTTCTTTGATGGAAGTTCTCTGAATAAAACACTAGCCAAAATATAGACATGAACATTTTGCAACAGTCCTCCTGAATAGAGAAGTAAATCCTAAGATTATGGCCATGTAGAGGGTAAGGAATACCTAAGAAGACAAAATCACTATGTAATAACATTCGGTCTTGCTTACCTGGTCATTTTCTTCCTTCTATCCTTCTACTTAAAAAAATGGCAGAACCAGTCTTTTACTCTCTAACCTACTCAGTTAGGTCTTGCTACATTTAAAAAAAATGTATTTTGGAAAGGACCAATACTCTGGATCCTCTTACTGTGCCCTCTGAAAGTTTTAGTAGTCACTAATGATATTTTCTTCCTTCTATCATGACATTTTCTTCCTAATATCCTTCTTCCTTTTTAGTTTTTATTTGGTTTGCTGGACAGGTCGAACTGTCTTATAAGGTATTCATGGGATAATGTGTTTATTCTGTGTGATTGGTTGTATAAGGTGTCGTTTGGTCACTGTTGTTCGTGAGGTCATGTTTGGTCGCTGACCAAGCTATTTTGGCCCTTCTCCTCTCTTAATGTAATGATACACAGATCTCATGTGGATTCAAGAAAAGAATCATGTATTCAATGCTATTTGAAAGGATTCTATTCGTGCTAAGAGTGCAATGCAATTCTGCTCTTACTGTATTCCAACAACTATATTTGTTTTTCGATGCTAGTTTCACTAAACTTTGTATGCCTTTAAATTTTGAGTTTCCTGTCGGATAATGAACTGCTTTTACGTATAGCAATGTTTGAAGTTGGAAATATTGCATGCTACATTAACCATATTTGTGTTGTGCCTAGCAGATTTATAACATTATTCTGAAACATGTGCGGTCATCACTTTGAACTTCAAATGATAGTGAAATGAATATCCGTTAAGTACTCACTTCATTCAGATTTGCAGATTCAATTAATCAGAATTCAGTTGCGGGTGCCGGAAATTGGTTGGACCACACAAAAGGTTTTTCATCTCATGAATTTCATTGTGAACGGAGGTAATGTGCGGTCCTAATGTTTTATCTTCTATCACCATTGCATTCTATTTTTAATAACTATGGGTTGCCTCTTGCAGTTCGTTCTATTATATTTGGATTTCATGCATATGTGTTCCTTCTTCAAAGAAAAGTAAGAACCATGTGTCAAAGAAGATTCATCTAAATGTTATGGAGGCCTTTTCTTTCTTCAGTATATATTTGTAGTATCTTTGTAGTATCTTGATTGTTGTTTTACAAGAGATTTGTGTTTGTAGTCCCAAATCCATAGCTTTCTTATGGACTGCTCAGTGCATTTTTTCCCTCCTATTTTGTTCTTCCAGTCAGTCATGTAGTTGATTATTCAACTAAACCTTTCTGTTTCAACAGGTGTATACTTTAGTGCTGTTAGATCTTCCTGGTCTCTTGTTTTTCTCGACCTACACATTGCTTGTGCTATTCTGGGCAGAGATATACCATCAGGTCTTACCAATATCTTTTTGCTTTTGGCATTTTTTCTTTTCCATCTACAAATTCAGCTCATACACTCGGGAACTTATATATGTTAATTTGTATGTCTATGCCAGGCTAAGCATCTTCCCACTGACAAGCTAAGGACTATATACATTGCAGTTAATAGTGTCATATATGTAATTCAGGTTGGTTTTTACCTGGTTTGTTGATTCTATTGTCATCTGATATTAGGGTGCTTTGTTTAATTAACCCCAACTGTAAAATACATTGCCCAATTGTTCTCTGGTATCTGTAATAGACAACTATATTCTATGTATGTATCTAATAGATGTTTGTAGGTTTGTATTTGGGTATACCTTGGAATAAATGACAATCCTCTCATGGAGCTTGTGAGCAAAGTATTCATATCAGGTACTTTCTTTTGTCACCATTGCTAGAGAAATTACTCCCTCTGGTCCATTTTATCTAGCGCACACGCATATCAAGATTCAAACTTTAAAAACTTTGACCAATAAATAAGCTAATAATTTTTAACTATTATAATACAAACTTTATATGATTAGATTTGTAAGGAATTATACTATCCAATGATTATAGGTTTATAAGCATAAATAATATAATATAAAGCAAATGAATGGTCAAAGTGTAATTTAGGAGACCGTGGGATTCTAACTTGCGCCAGATAAAATGGACCGGAGGGAGTATTTGTTTAGTTTACCACCTTTTAGCTCACTAATGTTTTTCCTTTATTGATTTTCAGCTGTCTCATTTATAGCTCTTCTAGGATTCTTAATTTATGGTGGAAGGTAGCTTTTTTTGTGTGCATATTCTACTGTTTTTGATGAGTTCATTTTGAATGTATTTCTGTTCTCATTTGTCTAGGTTATTTGTCATGCTGAGACACTTTCCAATTGAATCAAAGGGGCGGAGAAAGAAGCTTATTGAGGTCATTATTACACTAACAAGTACCTTACAGACCATTTGTATTGTTAATGGTGTGCATGCGAACAAAACAACTTTTTGCTTGCTGTATATGCACAATTACGCCCTTGTCCTGTGCCATTACTTCACAGCGGCATCTGGCATCTCTCAAAACTAGCCAGTCTAAAATGGCATTTGTTTAACTTCCACATCAATTAGCTCAAATTGCAAGATGCAATATCACTGGAAATTCTCTTGACTTAATGCTTAAGATTCCCATGCCTGTACCTAATTGGTGCTGTTTATGATTCCCATGTGCTATTAATGGGACTAACTTTACATGTATTAAAATTGTCTGTCAGGTTGGGACCGTGACAGCAATTTGCTTTACCTGCTTCTTGATAAGATGCATTGTGGTAAGTATTTAGTTCTTATTGATTCAAGTCTTAAATATTTATTTTGCGAAGTTCTTTCAAGAATAATGCTTGCTTTGTCATTGATGTGGGACTAAAGATCAGGTATACAACCCTACAGATTGTCCATTTTCAAGAACAATAGATATTAAAAATTCTATGTTGAGTGGGCACATTTGTTACTTAACACCCTAAAAGTAGATACAACTATTTACAACATAACTTAAGAGTCTAAGTACCAAAAGCCTAACATGATAGTGATGATGAACTCAAATGTTTGATCATCGCTATTGCTTTGTGGCCTTGCTCAGTAGCTTGCAGGTGCAGGGTTTGCCCCTGGCACAATATGAACAGCTACTAGCAGCAGCATTTGACTACAACCCTGTGAACTGGACAACTGGTTCAGGGTGATGTTGGAGTGCACAGAGCGTGGACTAATAGTTGGTTCAGAAACTAGGACATGAGTAATTCTTTTTTTTCTTCCTGCTTTTGCAGTCCAGATATCAATTTGTATCAAAACTCGCATACCATACTTTATTAGGCTGAAGTTTTTTGGAAAGTAGGTCAGATATTTTAGGTTTGGCTAATGGTTTCATTAAATTCTCTATGAAATATGTCTTTTATGTGCACTTATTTGAACTTGTAGATGTTGATGTATTTTTCTGAGACTCGGTCAAAGTTAAGTTTGACTTGACAAAACTAAAGTAATCTAGTGGCAGATCTAGGATTCAAAACCTATGGGGCCAAACTTGTAAATTTTAAGTCAATTAACACAAGCGTTACACAATTGGCATATATAATTGCCAATAATATGTAGGGGTTTAATGTATTTTGGCAAAAGCTGTGGAGCCAGGTGGCCCCAGGGCGGATACATGGATCCACCACTGCTATAATTTGGAACACAGAGAGTATTATTGAGTATTGACTACTCCAGGTCTTGTAACATGCCTATGTGTGTGTTCTATCTTCAATATATTCAGGTTTTTACTTGTATCACCAGTTCATAAGCTTAAATCATGCTTTGATGTGATGGCAGGTGGCATTTTCATCATTTGATCCTGATCTATCTCTTGAGGTTTTGGATCATCCAGTTTTGGATTTCTTCTACTACATGGTAAGTACCATGAAATGTATTCTTATACACTTATTTTCCTTTGCAGTTTTTCTTTTTGATGCAGTATTTTCCTTTGTAGTTGACAGAGATACTGCCCTCTGCCCTTGTACTATTCGTCCTGCGGAAACTTCCTCCCAAGCGTGTATCAGCGCAATACAACTCTATTCGTTAGAAGATTTTGGCATGTTATGCTGAGAAATCCTGAAAGACCAAATTTTCCTAGAATTATGTTTGTCACAGAGCGAACTGTGATATTTGAGCATGGCTTCGAGAGGTATTTTGTCATCTTAGCGCCATGGCTATATGATATAAGAGTACCCCGGTGCTAAAGGCCCAATTTTTGGGGGCATTATATATATTAATCTCCCTGTACAAGTAACTTGTCTATATTTTTATTAATTGTCTAACAGAAAGAACAGTTTGAATTGGTTACTTTATTTGCATTTGTACCATTTTATCTATTGATTGAAACGGCAGGTAGAATTTTGATGGCATCGCTATTCTCTTTATGATGAGCGGCACTTTTGGCACCTGACATATTTCCTTTCTGTGAGAGAGATAAACTCTGAATAGTATATATTGATAGATCACAGATTACAAAGGATTACAATATATAGGTAGGAGAACTCAAGGGTTCAAGGTGTGAACACAATCTAGGAACCTAATTAACTGATACTAAATAGCACAAGTGCCTAGCCTGGCGCATGGCTGTATCCAGAGTCCAAGGCGCAGGCACAATAGACTAGGAGGCAAACATAACTTGCTAACACTTTCTTAGATCCTGTTTGGATCCATGTTAAGATTAGCTGAAGTCCTGTTTGGACCCTCAACTAATGTTTTAGTAACAATTATCCTCTGTTCCAAATTATACTCAACTAATGTTTTTACTAATAATTACTCCTTCCATTCTAAACTATAAGACGTTTTTTGTTTTTCTAGATAAGCCACTTTTGTTATGAACTTAGATATAAATTATGTCTATAAGCATAGTAAAAATAATTTGTATGTAGTAAAGACAATCCAAACGGACCTTGTCTTAATCATCTACCTTTGACACCTGACGAGAGCGAGCGTGCTGTAGTGTTTATGTGCGTATATAGTTTGGAAAACGGCTTAATGTGGCATTACGTACACATCATTTCACTATCCACTGCCCAGAGCAGTTACCAACTACATCAGGGGATTCATTGCTCCAACAAGTGATTTTCTTATTTTACCTCTTCTTATAAAATACTGGGTATATTCCTGAGCATTTTGGTATTTGTCAGAAGGTCCCGTACTCCCGTGTCCGGCTGACGCCAGTCTTCCGAGTTTTCCATCGGTACAGACTCTTTGTAATCATCTTCGTGACGCTTCGCTCGTTCTCGAAGGCTCCGCATGAGCCAAACCCTTAAGCAGCGCGTATTGCATCCCTAATCAGCAATCAACACTTAACGTGAATAGGCCTGTGGTCCAGTGGCAGGCCCACCAGGGTTTAAATCCTGGTGTCGCGCCTATTTTCTGGATTTTGTAGAAAAATCAAGGTACACGCACGCGTACGCGTTTGGTGATGCTGCGTATTTTCCGCGCACTATAGGTTAGAGAGCCTCCTGATCTCTTCTTTACATGTGTACGATCAGTATGCGTGTAGTGTGAGTGTAAAGTGTGTGGGTTATGCGCGTCCAAAATTATATCTAATAAAAAAAAAGCAATCAACACTCAACTATTGAAATAGTGGACGCCTTACTTCCTAGCCGCATGCACCAACAGCAGGTCATTCTAGTTCCCAGGCCCGGCCCTCGGGAAGGGTGAGGGGGGCGGCCGCTCAAAGCCCTCCATGGCTCCACGCCAAAGGGCTTCACCAGGTACGTATGTATATATATATTATATTGTTTATATTAAAATTTAGGAGGAAGAACGAGAAAATTCAAAGCTTCTACGATTTAGGTGTGATGTCAGAATCGGTTATTTTATAGATGACGTCAGCAGACGACGTTAATAGGCTATACTTGAGTGGCGTCAAGAAGATGTGTTGGACTCTATAAATAAGAAAAATTGAGGTCTAGGTTATTATTAAGTTATGAAGTTTTCTTTTATTCCAAGAATTGTAATGAGTCGTATTTGAGTAAGATTCATGTTTAAGTTTCGGGTATAAATATTAGACCTTGGTTATTGTAAAAAAGGACGAACATTCAATCAATACAATCTTTTCGGCTTTCGCCATCGTATTAGGAGTAGGAGTACTATAGATCTCGGTGAGTTCTTCAACAAACAGGGCTGCATCGACTGATCGATCTCCAGCTTGCTTGTGAGTACTATCACGACTTGTATTGTGCTTGTAAAGCTGCATTAGTTGATTAATCTTTTATGCGCCACAATATAAGTTAGTTATCGATCTATATCATAGTTTGTAAGGCTGCATCAGCTGATTGATCTCTTATGAATCATAATATAGATCAAAGTTATCGATCTTGTGTTGAATAACCTGTTATTTAATACAATATCACCAGTTATCGAATCTGATAAGATTAGTAAGATTTTCCTTGCTATTTTTTATTGATTCACTGGTTATCGATCTTGCTATAATTAATGTTTTATTAATTATAACAAAATCACCCCATTGAGATAGAGATAGATCGACATTATATCATCTTAATTGGCCGTCCTCTGATCTGGTCACGTTTCAAATCTTATAATTTATGGCTTAATTCTGCTAGATCGTCTGTTTTATCTCTATTCCAATCAAACATAGTATGCATCCAAAGACATATTTCAATCTTGAATAAACTCACTAGTTATTGAGATCTAATCTAATGACACTACCATAGTTGCATCGATCCGGTCGAACATCACTGATAAGACTTTAGATTAGAAATTATCGATTAGTGGTCTTGTTCATGATCAAGATATGTACTCTATTTGTTTGCTATGACTGCATCAGCTATTTAGCCGATTTGTCTATACTCTCACGTATATAGCATGTTTTCATGAATCTGTCAACATATAGATGGTTTTATAGGTTCTTTGGCTTTAGTTTATTATCATTATCATAGCTGTATCGATCTGATCGAACCTCTCGGTTGATGATAATAGATTAGATTCAAACTGTTTGTAGATTCATCTATATTAGACAGTCGATTTGTTCACAGGTTATACTATTTTTATGGATATGCTGGATATCGTCTATTTAGTCGATAACCTCATTGAATCAGCTATCTAGCCGTACATTTGGAACTATTTGGTGCAACACCGACATGTTCCACCTTAAATTACTGATAAGATTTTCTCTCATTGTCAATTGCAGGTCAAATTGACTGGCACGTCATTAGGTTTTCAGAATCGGTTGGTTATGTGTTGAAGCCAAGCAGATCTCTAGGCTCGTTCCACTCAGATCTTCTGGCTTGTTGTGTGTTAATTACATCGCCATATTTTTGTCAACATATACTTTGTATGGCTTTTGGTTCATATTTGTCCCAAAAATAGATGAACTTAATGTAGATAGGTTGCACGTAGATTACATAGGCGAGAGAGAGGAAGACATGCTGGGTGGCATGGGATGATATGATTATGTCAAAGTTTCTTGGTGGAATGGGCTTCTAAGATATGGGGCTATTCAATCTTGCTTTGTTTGCGAAGCAGGCTTGGCGGATCCTTCAGGAACCGGCATCTTTGAGCGCTCGGATTTTAAAGGTATTTTATCTTCCACAAGGTGATTTTTTGGAGGCCAATTTTGGATCCGTCCCCTCTAAAATCTAATTTTGGATGGCAGGGAAGTGCTTCAGCTTGGCCTGATGAGGAGAATCGGCACAGGTTCACCTATGTCAGTTTGAAATATGGACTGGCTACCGACTAAAAGTATACAGCGGCTAGTACCCAGCGCTCGCCCACTACCCCCCCACCCCCCAAAGCTTATGAGCGAGCTAATTGACAGCACATCGGTAGCTTAGGATCGAATAAAGCTTCAGGAATTGTTCACACAAGCTGAAATTGATGTGATTCTTAATATCCCTCTGTGTCATCGGAGTCAACCGAATTTCTGGGCATGGCATCATGACAAGACAGGAGTTTTCATAGCGAGATCCGCATATAGAATGCTTATTATGCAGCATGCTTTGTCGGAGAATGCGGTGTGCTTTATCGGAAGAGAAGGAGTGGTCATCCTCGTGGCAGGTCATGGTGCCCTCAAAGGTACGAATTTTTTACCGCAGAAATATGGCTGATCATGGCCAATGTGCTTTATGTGGAGCCCCTGATTCTTGGAAACATTCCTTGCTTGAATGTAATATGGTGAGATGTGTATGGGCGTTGGAGAGCGAGGAAATCGTTGAACACCTTAGGGAGATGTAGGAGAAAAACTCAAGAGGTTGGTTGGTGAACCTGTTTGAAACAATGCCCCATGCCGATCTTATTGGAGTGTTGGTAACTATGTGGGCAATTTGGTATGCAAGAAGGAAGGTGAAGGCCTCGAAAACAAAGGCCTGCGCATCAAGAAGATCCTAGAGATGAAGACCTGCGCGCCGAGCGAAGCCGATGAACCATGTTACAGACGCATGAGAAGAAGCTAAAGCCCAAAGTTGAAGATGTCCGAAAGATTAAGGCGCTAGGAGCTAGAATCGAAGCCTAAAAAATTGGAACATGTATAGGTTAGAGTAATGAGTGTGCTCTTTTCTCCATGTCCTTTTTTCCCACAGGGTTTTTGGGATGGAGTTTTTAGTGAGCCACACACGTGCAAGTTACGAAGGGCGATCCTTGCAACCAAGGTTTGAGTTGTATTGTTCCTCTTCTTGTATGAGCATCTACTAATTAATTCATGTAGTACCAGCCATAACCTAGTAGCTAAGGGGCTACTATTGGGGGAGCCCGTATTCATATGGGCCAATTCCCCCTTAAGAGGCCCAATAGGGGTTGGTGTAGTGTCTCATGAATTCCATCCCTACCAAGAGGGCGATTGTAAAATGTCATTGCCTATATATAATACCAAGAGCATAAGGGCAAGGAACTCTCCCCTCTCACTCACTATCTTGTTTCAACTATGTTACTTTCAGTTAATAATTGTTCAATTCCTCATGTAATCAAGAAATTTGTCTCAAAAGAAATTAAATGGTTGACAACTTTATGCATTGAGGAACAACTTTTTCAATCTAATATGCATAATAAATTAGTTTATAAAAATGATTTTGTATATATTTCATG